AAGAAAACTCTTCTCTCATCTGTACCACAACAAAATACTTTAACCACTGGGATATCATTTAAGCTGCAGTAATGGTTGGTGTAAGTCAGCTTTCTCCTTCAGTCCAACAGCTGGTTTTGACTTAGTTGTAAAGAAATGAATGGTGGTTAAAATAATAGGATTATGTAGCTCTCTGTGTATTTGTATGTAATGCTTAGGATGTTAGTTTAGCTAGAGAGATTAAACATGTTTCTTAAGAGGGTTATATAACTGAAAATAACAGCACTATAAAGTTTATTTCAGACACCTAGCGACTGTTTGTTATGATAAATTTGAAAAATTAAATCCTGCTTTCTATCTTAACTGCAGTTCTGGCATAGTGCTTCTGGAGACCACACAACTTGCCAGGCTTCATATTCCAGTAAATGACTTTTCAGGCATATTTTCAGCCAGTTCAGATGAAGAAACATTCAAGGAGCATGGCGTATAATTCAAGTTCCCTGTGGGTTGATGCTAGACCCAGTCCCTCCAGGTCTGTTAAATGTTTCAGCAAGGCTTCCCAAATTATTTAAGAGCTTTATGTAAGGATTTCAGTCATGCCACCAATGTTTTTCTCTTTAGGACTATTAAACGAGTTTTGTAAGGGACTTGCTGCTACTACAGAAAGGTATCAGTTCTGATAGTATTSTAATAATCTTGAACAAGGTCCCAGAAATGTGAAATTGCAGTCCTTGACAGCAGTGTCTGACACTGTAATTTCTGCTGAAGACACAGGCCTGATATGATTTCAATATATTTTTTTGATTTTCCCTCCTTCCTGCCCCTCTGCTGGCGCTCTTGGGGAGCCACAGAAAAAAAAAAAAAGATGAAAAGTCTCAAAAATAAATCATCTAGTTCCATTGAATGCTCTGCCTAAAAACTGTCATGACTGGCTGACAGAAAGCTGCCACCTAAGGTAAATATTTGGCTTGACTTAGTCACAGAACAACTGAGGTTGGTGGCACCTCTGAAGATTGTCTAGGCCAACCTCCTACCCAGAGCAGGGTGAACTCAAGCACGTTACAAAGAGCCTCATCTAGTTGGGTTGTGAATATTCCCCAGGATGGGGAATTGGCAGCCTCTCCAGGCAGCTTGGTCGAGCATTCAGTCACTCTCACACTGAAAGTTTTTTTTCCTTCCTGTGTTTAATCAGAATTTCCTACATTTCAATTTGTGCCCTTTGCCTTTTGTACTTTCACTGAGCACCATGGAGAAAAGTCTGGCTCTGGTGTTTTTATTACTATTTCCCTCTTCYCACCTAACCCTCTTTTAAAATCAATCATTTCTACCCATGGGTAGGATCTACAGAGCCTTGTCCTTTCAAGTCTAAAGAATCCTAATTCTCTCATTCTTTTCTTAAATGTCAGATGCTCTGTGTATTAATCACCTTTGTGGCCTTCATGCTGGGCTTACTTGGTATGTCCATGTCTCTCAAACTGTGAAGCCAAGAGCTGAGCCCAGCAATCCAGATGGTTCTGTTGCTGAGGGGAAGGATCATTCACACAGAGAAGGAGTAGGAGGTAGTAGTCTGCGGGTTAAACAAGTTTCTCCGCAGTGCCCCAGATCCGAACCAGGAAGCAGCACACCTCCCAGGACAGGTTAGGTCACAGAGAGAGGCATCCTCATCTGCGGTCACTTGCTGCCACTGACTGCTGTTTCCTCGTGCTCTTACATGGTTCAGGCTCAACTGGATCTGATGTTTCCTTGGAGAGCTCCCAGCTCCTTGTCTGCTAACAAGGTACTGGGCCTAGTCCTGTGTTCCTAAATCAGTCCTATAGCAGTTCTGATTGTCTCTGTGGTAAGTTTTTTTCCGTAATATCATAATCAATCAGACTCTGATCTGACATGTCATCTTCTGCCTCCTCACCCCTTTCCAAAACCTGAAATGTGTGTGAGATGACATCTTACTCGTAGTTTTTGATTCTTAACAAAACAATGTTACTGTTTAACTACTAGAGGTGTAAAATAAATACTTTGTACAGAGTGGCAAGAGCTCTCTAATGGCCTATACTTGTGAATACTCATTCCATAGTCCCAGCCAGCCTAGGAGAATGCTGTCTTCCTCCCAGATGAGCTTTGGTCCTCTTGGATGTGTAGGAAAAACACAATTAATCACATAAGGTTCATACTCAAAATTGAAAAGGCTTTTTGTGTGTGTAAGACTCRGTCACTATGGACTTTTAAGCTACAAGGTGTTATTTTGACTTGGCTCCGAGATGAAGATATCTRTGTAAAGGGTGGAGGGAGAATAGGATAGGTGGTTCTGGTGGTTTGTGTTTCTCAGATGTTCTGCTGCATCTGGACAACTCTTAAGTCTTAGTTCACTCAGATACTGGACTATTTGGGTATCAGAAAAGTTACCTGCCCATTACACTGTCATCTAAATTGCCTGATCAGTTCCTTCAGCTGCTTGCTGGTCTTGAAAAGCAGAAGCAGTAAGTGTTCCTCATAAGGAGTATGTACTTGAGGCATATGTAGCTTCTTGCTATTTCAGTGGCTCTTCTAGAGAAACACAGAGGATGAAACTATCTTGACATTTCCCACGACCTTCCCTATGCCCTAGGGAGTTAAAAACCAGAGTTTAGGTCTATTTTGTGGAGGTATCCATGAATGTGTGGATGGATATTGCTGAGGAATGCAAGAGAAATGTCATCGTCTAAATTTCAAAACCAAAAATCGGTATTTGTGTGCTGCTTTGTGTCGCTGGAACATGGAGACTTCCTGCAGTTGTTGGCATGACAGAGTCTGTGCTTTACAGTCTGGGAAGTTGACCAAAATGAATGTTTTGTGTGTTTTGAGCACAAATGTAGAAATACTCCCTCAAGGAAATAAASAGGCTTTCAAAATAACTAGTTCATGTTGACACAGTGTGGTTATGGTTACTTTAATTCAGACTCTCCTGTGGAAAAAGGATCAGSTGTTTGGCAGTCTGGAGCATCCCTGGCCATATGGAGGTACAATAAGTGTTGAATCACTTTTCCCCATTTAACTCCATAAAACTACCTTTAACCTGTTTATTGAAATCTCATATCTGCTAATATGCTTAAAAATCCAGTTTATCTTGAGAGAAATTTTATTTTGCTACTTTTTACCTCT